TAAAATTAAAAAAAAAAAAAAAAAAAATCATGTCCAGACAGATGGCAGCACGGGGAAGCCAGACAAAGACAGGGCTGAGTCTGGACAATGGACAGATGTTCCCAGAGATCTCTGTGGGGCTTTTCCACAAGCCAGGCGTAGCTGACGTCCAGGAACTGCAGGGACTGGAATGTCTGGGTGGGAGCCTTTCCTATCAGCCTCTCCTCAGGGTTGTAAGTCTGTTAAAATGTCTACTTTTGACAAATGAACCAAATACAGAAATAAGGCCTTAGAGAACTTAAAGAAGAGGAAGATGGTCGGGAAGTTCCCAGTTCCTACCTCCATGGAAAAATGACTTCTTGGATGCTAAGATTGGAGCTATGCCCATCTATCCATGACTATTTGCCTGTCTGAAATCCTAAATTCTCAGCATTACTCTATACAGGGCTTTAAATCTATTTAAAATAGATCATAGCTGCATTTCCCAAACTGGTGAATGTTAATAGATGTATCCACCAAAAAAAAAAAAGGAGTTTTACAGTCAAATGAGTTTGGGAAATGTGGGGAAAAACCAAGTTAAGCAGATTTCTTTTTGGCAGAACTTAGCAAAACCTTCAATATGCTAATATATGTTATGAATCTGCAGGAAGGGGATACAGTCTGCAGCATTTTACAAACTTATCTGACCACAGAAATTGTTTTCCTGCCCATCTATCTACATCTCCTAGGACATCATTCTGTGGCATACAGCTTTGGAGACAGATTTGAAATAATGCTATCTTTCAGAAGAAAACTATTTTGGCTGGTGAATATCTCTTATCATCTACTTCAACTCACCAAAAGGAGGATCAGGAGGCCAGATAGGAAGTGGCACCAGAGGACACTATTGATGGGCAAGGAGGAAGATGGGATCACAAAGCAGAGCCCGAGGCTAACGGAGGTTACATTTGAGTCTCAGGTCAGCCTAAGCACAGTTGAAGGATTCTAGGTGTTGGGGGTTCGGAGAAAATAAAAAGTGTCAAATTCCAGGTGGAAGAAGTCAAAGACTATCTTTGTTTGGTTCGTAATTATTCTTAACCAGCCCTAGTATCATTATCTCTAGTAAGATAGAGAGTGACCTGGAGAATCATCCTATTTGATGAAAACAGAAATTCAGGCAAATGATTCTTTTTGTAGCATTTCACCAATGATAGCCCATGGTGCCATTTTAGGATTGAGATCACAGAGGGCAGAGAGATGAGGCAATTTGTCTGATGCCCCAGTGCAGCCACTTTCCTTTCTGTAACCACATCGTGAAGTCTTTAATAAGCTGCAGGGAAGAAGCACAAAGTGCTGTAAGGAGTCCATGATTACTTACTTCAGAATCACACAGCCTGTTCCTGCTGGTGGCGCTACCCAAAATACCTGGATCCGCGTCCTCCTGCGTGGGGTGCTTTCAGTGACGGCAACAGGGCAGTTACTCATAAACTGTGTCTCTTCTTCATCTATGATCTATGGAAAACCAGTGGAAAATAAACACATTAAAATGCAACGTCACTTTGGGAGGGCTCCAAAGTTTCTGAGTTGATGCTTTCTTTNGTGAGCGGCCGGTCTGTATGTGGGATCCGAACCCTCGGCGGGAGCGCCGCTGCGCTCCCAAGCGGCGCACTGTAGCAGTGCGCCACCGGGCCGGCCCTGAGTTGATGCTTTCTTAATTTTATTTTTAAACCTGTCTTTTTGTGTCAGCAGCTCTATATCCTCAGGTACCAGAATAGTGCCTGGCATAGAGTCCCAGTCAATGCTCATTGAATTAATATAAAACAAGGACAGAGATTGGGCACATCTATGCTCTCTGTGACCAGATGTGTCAGCACTTTGAGGAACTGACCACTAGGTGATGATCTTGCTCATTTCACTAGAACAACCAGTGTCCCCTTCAGGGAAGGAGGAGGAGGCTGGGGGAGGGACGGATGATCCAAAGCAAACACTATCTGAGTGTAGCCACACTTTGTAATCCAGCTACAATTTCATAACTTAAAATTAAAAGGTTGGGCCGGCCCGGTGGCGCACTGGAGAGTGCGCCGCTTGGGAGCGCATCGGCGCTCCTGCCAAGGGTTCGGATCCCATGTGGAGACCGGTTCCCGCTCCCTGGCTGAGTGCGGTGCGGGCGGTGCGGGCGCAACACTGAGGGTTGCGATCTGTTGCCGGACATGAAAAAA